TTGTCGTATCAGTGTTCTGGCTGCCCATAGTCTGGGGGCCTTGATGTCGGACATTTGTACGTTTCATTGCTTGCATCACGCGTCGCCTTCGCACCGCTTCTCGCAGCTTCTGTAACAGGTCGAGCGCTTGACCCTTCCTAAGTTCGGGCTCAGTCGCAGACAAGTGCTCTAAGCCAAGCTGTCTTCGGACCGCTGGATCCTCATATGAAGATGGCAAATGCAAGGGCTCTTCTTCGGGAAACGCGCATATTCTGCCGTTGTATTCACTAACAGCCGGAGTCATGGTTGACTGAGCTTCCCGAAATCAATTTAGATGCCCTGCCAGGGCGTCACGGGCCCGGTGAAGGCCAAGATCTATGCTTGCAGCGTCTTTCCTGAGTACTGCAGAGGCACGAGACGTCACTTTGTGCCTGACAGGTACACTTAGCTATCCACATAGATAACAGCAAGATGAACTCACTGTTCATCCTCAAGACACAACCCCATATTGATGAAAGTAGCTGCAGAGGGTCTACCTCTGAATACGCTCCACGTCGGTGCAGAAGCCTCTGACCACACAGGCTCTTCCGCTGCCTCCACAAGGCGAAGTCTGTCGTACATCTGCTTTCTCGTCGGGACTGCGAGGAACTTCGTTAAAAACCTTTTCTTGCGACCATGACTGCCACACTCACTTAACCCATTCGGTAATTTGTAGACGCTCTGTACTGTGGTTCCCTCTTTCCGAGGAAGCGGCGACATGTTCTCCCATTTCTTCAGAAGGGCTGGATGAGTAATCGCACAAAGCCCTTGGAAGTCTTCTCGATGGTGCTCAGCCTGTTTTGAGGCCTCTCTGTGCTTCTGCCAAAGATACGTGCCTGTTTTAGAGACGTCAGGTAAACTCAATTCTTAAGAAACAATGGGCACCAACACATTTGACTGCTCTTCACAAAGTTCCAGAAGTGTAGGTGATCTTCTATGACCTCTTGATGGTGACCATAGGTCATTTCACGGGTACTCCCACCCAATTGGTTCAGTTCGGCCCAGGGACGTTCCACCCCCTCGCCGTCCGATCTCCCCACACCGTCTGTAAACCCCAGCGAGTGTGTATATTGGCAATCTTCTGAATGGCCAGCAGCGTGCATCTTCGGAACAACCCACTCGATGGTATCGCAAACATCAAGCAAGTCAGGAAACAGCTGCGATATTCTCGCCTGAAACCTGACTCGGTATTTGCAAGCCAAGTCATAAGAGATTATTTTACGAGGCACTCCTGCATATGTTCGCAATGCCTGCGCCATGGCCTAGTCTACATTTGCATACCTACCGATTGACCATTAGGATTATCATAAAGCGTATGAATGAGCCGTAGTACGCACCGTTCTCCTTTCTGTAAATCCACCAAACCTCCGGGCAAGAATATGCTATGCCTCACACAACTACAGCCATAAATCCCCGACACCGACATGCCTTGATCACGGCCACCCCGGAACACCATGCCTGACGGCTCGCCTGAGCAAGATTCATGCCGCTATCAAAATATGGTTAGATCCCTGGGTCTGCTCTCATTCGTCACACACATACTTCGTTTGTATCTGAAGTCAGGCCGATGTATTCGTCGAATGAGTCCCTTCTGGGAAAGAATCCTTGCCCGTCTAACAGGGAGCGCTCTTCATCCTGTCTGCGCTTATCTTTGAGTTGCAGATGAAAATTTCCGTCTCCTCCCAATAGCATAGTTGAAAGATGGCTAGAGAAGCATCGGTAAGATGGATCTGCGTAAATTCCCTCTCACTCACAGTTTATTCCTGGTGACGTTTTCCTGAAGCTCCATCTGTGTAATATTCACGCCCGGCAGAGGACACGCAGGACAGCGTGAGCAAATTGGTCCTGAATCCAGCAGCACGCTCTTGCACTCGGGAGGAATGACATCCTCAAGCCGATGCGCCTGTCCGCTTCTTTTCGATAGCTGCAGCCGGCGCCACAACCGAGCACAGAACATGAACTCCCGATACCGGTCCCTCGTGCTCATTGGGACGACATTGTCTGTGCTTCGGGCGAGTTTCGTGACGTAGTCATAGGCAGATCTTTTGGAACAAAGACTGTGTTGGTGAAAATCGCGCAAGCAGTCGAAGGTGACAGCCGTAACCGGGCTTTTGATAGTTGCGGGAAACATATCATGTTGCAGTAGCTGTATGAAGTGGGGTGAAGCAGAAGCACCTGCGCAAAGACCGATTTCCACCTCGTGCAGGCCATTGGTATGAACGACGGTAATTTTTCTTCTGTTGCAGTTGCTGCCGCAGCATTGGCAGAACGCCAGAATAGCACCGAGCTTTGTCAACGTAACTCGTTCGAAAAAAAGACCGTTCCACTTCTGTATCCGATGGAACGGTAGAGCTTTGTGTGCTTGAACTATACACGCATCGCAGAAGCCCTGTCGCCCAAAACAGTCGGTGCATCGGCTCACCGCTGAACCTTGCAGACAGTCACGGCACCGCTCTCCCGGCTTGAAAGGTCCTTCTCTCCTAAGAAGCTCATCCTCAAAGAGTTTCTCAAGTTTCGAGAACTCTCCTAGAGCAGGCATTGATGTGGAAGGCTCCTGAACGTAAGTTAGAGCGAATCAGACTTTGGGCACAGACGGTGCACACCTGCAGTTGGTCTTGTTCCTCCTCCTCCTCCTGCTTACTCTCTACCATGGGATTCATCGGTATATTCCAATTTTGTTTTTGGGGCGCAGGTAAC